GTCGCCCTGTGAGGGGGCCAAGACACCACTCTTTTCTGATCTGTTTTAAGCCATGTGGCTGAAGTCTGTTGACACCAGTGGCTCCTGGGTAAATGCAAGTGTCCTGGACCTCGGGGGCCAGCATCTGCTCCACCTGAGGACAGTCAGCATCTTCATCACAGGCTCAAGCTGGCCTCTGTTCAAACTGTGAGAAGAAGTTTCCAGTAGAAACAAACTGCACAGTCAGTTACAGGGCACGCTTGGCTCTCTCTGGAGAAAGAGCTTCAGTACATGTGCAAATGTGCTCACTTTAAAAAAATCAAAAACCAGTTTTCTGTACATTTAGGCAGGCCCTGGGAGGACTCTGTCATGCAAGCTTTTGACAGCAGTGCCTTTGAGTTACCTCTCTTTACATAAATATTCAAATGGTTTCTTTTAAAACTGTACTGTTTTCACAAGTGTCGACTGTACTGAGTCACTCTGCTAGACGCCTTGGTGGTAGAAATGGTAACCAGACTGGGATCTAGTTTGTAAGGAGATGACAGTGTGGTAGAAGGAGTGTGAAGACGTAGATAAGACAAGGTAGGAAGGGAAGGATGCATCCCAAAGGACACAGGTGGAGGGACAACAGTCTAGGTCACCTTTCCTTTTGGGTCTTACAGGTCTTCAAAACTCCATATTTAAGGTGTGCGTCATGATGTTTTGAGGCACCTAGTGAGATGAGTGCACGTTGAGCAAGCTAGCATGGCCCATCTGTGGGTGGTAAGAGCACCTACGTGTCCAGCACACAGCCCAGCGTTCCAAGCTGTGGTCTGTCACCACAGTGGCCATGAGGTCTCCAGAATTCACTCATCCTACACTTTGACCAATGTCTCTTCGCCCTCACCACTGCCACCATCACCACCACCACCATGATCAGCCCCCAGTAGCCACGCTGCTGCTCTGTTTCCGAGTTTGACTTTTTTGGCTTCTGCATCTGAGTGAGATTGTCCTCCGTCTGGCTGACTTCATTTAGCCTGATGTCCTCGGGTCATCCATGCTGATGGAAACAGCAGGATTTCCTTCTTTTCACGACTCGTCAGTGCCCTGTGGTGCGCTGATGGGATGCTGTTCCCGTGTCTTGGCTGCTGTGAGCAGTGCTACAGTGAGCATGGAAGGGTGACTGTCCTTCGACATACTGCTTTCACGTCCTTTGGATCAGTACCCAAAACTAGGACTGCTGAACCTTATGGTAGTGTTTTTCACTTTTTGAGGGACCGCCATAATGTATTCATAGAGGTTCTGTAAGATCCCAAGCCCAAAACAGTATGCGGGACTCCCCTTTCTGCCCGTCCTCCCCACACTTCATCTCTCTTGTCTTTTCGATAATCAGAGCGGAGTGAGGTGATAACTCACTGTGGCTCTGCTTTGCATTTTCTCAATGGTGAAAGTCATTGAGCACAGTTTGGTACACCTGTTGGTCATTTGTGTATCTTCTCAGGTCCTTTGCCAAGTTTTTAGTTGGAATATTTTTTCTTTACTGGTAAAATACTTAATACTCTGAAAAGGACTTTGAATAAGGAAACTCAAATTTCTCTTCATCTGCTTTAGTTAACTTTAATATAAAAAGTGGGCAGGGTTGACATTATCCAATGCCTGTGGATGACATGGTAGGCAGGGTGATGGGTCTGTGAGTGGCTTCATTCATAGAGCACAGCAACAAGGTATCCAGACCGGTTGAGTTAAAACAGCTACAATGTGCTCTTCCAGCTCTGAGTCACGAAGTCCGAAATCAAGGTGTGACAGAAATCCACTCCTCCGTGGGCTCCAGGGCAGGACCTGCCTCTCACAGTTCCTGGGGGCCCAGGCAGCCCTGATTTATGGAGGTATCGCTCCAGCAGCTGCCTGTCTGCACATGGCCTCCTCTGTGTCTACCGCCACCTGCCTATCTCCTTGTTTTTAAAAACACCATCCTCCTGGATTAGGACCCACCTCCTCTAACAGGGCCTGGTCCTGACACCCACTACATCTGAAAGATCCTGTCTCCAAATAGGGCCATAGTCGCTGGCCCTGGTGGCTGGGATTCCAGCATGACTTTTGGGAAGGACACTGCAATCCACAACAAAGAGCAGCGTGGTTTCTTTAATCAAGTCAGTGAACCTACTCAACTGGACCAAATAACAGCCAAAGTATGCATTTCCTGCCACGCAGTGGTCTGAATTGCTTAATTTTATTTTTCCCACTTACTTGCTGCCGATAACTATCCCAGGGTACCTGGGCTGTAGCTGCCATCATGAGTTTCTGGCCCTTGTCATCCCTGAGTGGATCAGGATGGCGGGCTTGGAGAGACCGACAGCAGGTTTAGGCGGAGTTTTATGCCAGCCAAGAACTACTGGGCTGACATTTGTATTCCATGGCACCCAGCCACCGTGAAGAAGTCAGAATAATGGGCACCAAAAGTCACCATCAGTCCCCCACTGCTGCCCTAGGCACTCAGGACCCTGGAGCTGTGTTCCCAGGAGAGGTGCTGGGACACTTGGGCGAAAGTTGACAGAAATGGTGACCTACACTTAGGACCCATACCTGAGGCTCATTTCTGACCCACAGTGACAGCCTGTTTTTGCTCTAGGGGTGGAAGCACCTGCTTGCTGCCTGGGAACAGTGACCCATTGTGACTCTGCAAATAAAGGAAGTCATGAGCAGGACTGTGGGCCACCATGGCTCGCCCGGCAGCACATCACCACCCCCGCCTCTCCTGGTCCCCTCCAGAATCTGCATTCAGAAGCCTGACACATAACCAGGGCTCCCCAGTGTGCCAGACACTAAGGAGACCCACAGACGTTGTGTTCTCTGACACTTAACCAAACACACAGCATGAGGAATTGCCATTTCTAATTCATACACTCTCTTCCAACAGACTGCACTAGGACTAAATAGGGGTTCTCAGTCCCTCCCTCCGAAGAGAAAGCTTAGGTTTCGCAAAGATTGGTCACCCACAGCATCTTCCCTGCTAGGTAATACCTTGCATTCACCAGCAATTAAAGACCAAACCAAGGACAAAGAAAATAGTGAACCATGGAGAAACTGCAACTTGGTTGATTAAAGCTCTTACTAGTACACCATATTCCCACCAAAATCCAAATTAGCTTTTTTTCAGTGTACTCTGAAGTTACATTGTGGGCGGCGAAATGCCTGTTTTCCCTCCATGGCTTGGACATAAGAAAATGCTGTGATTTTGGTGCCCTGTTGGGCTGCCAATCTGCCTGATTTAGTAAATTCCCTCTTGCCTTTATATACAGTGACCTAAAAAGAATTATTATCCCCCAGGGTGCCTTTGAGATTGTTTGTTTAAATTAAGTTTCATTTGGATTTAATCTTAACCAAATCTTCAGAGAGCTCGGCAGACTCCCTGGCACTAAGTACCGTGTGTGAGGACCAATGAGCGAGGCCTCACAACCGCAAGGACCCTGCTTTAAACGAGGGGCTGCGTAACGTCACACTCGGGCGGCCCAGCCAGAGTGCTAGACGATTAGTTTATGGTCCTGATCATTGTATTTTTATTACACTCATAAAATCTGTGTTTCTCCTCATTTTCGTAATGGCTTCAGTGAGCTCCCCTGCTTTCCAAAGGCACATTAAATGGTTATGTGATTGGCGGAGCAGGTTTGAAAGCTTACAGCATGAACCGTGTCTTGAACGCTCATCTTGGTGGGTTGGTAAAAGGAGGTGCACAGGTTTGGGTGTGATTCATCACTATTTGTGGGCTTTCGATAAATACTTCTGGAGGGTCCATTAAATTCCTGTATAAATGACACACGGTCAGGTGCCTAAAGGGTATCGACTGTTTCTGTCCCAGGGAAATATAAATCAATATTAAAAGAGGAAAATACTGTGTACATGTCTGCCTTTTAAAATGTAACTTAATGGAGGAGTCCAGTAACATGAACCATCATGAGAAAGCCTGCATTTCTTAGATAAAAAGATCTTGACTGGTTTGTCACATCTGCATTTAAGAGGAACAGGCTCTCTCTCGGAGGCCACTTTGCACCCACTGCTGTGCATTGCTCTTCAGTACTTCTGTGAAGTTACCGTGACCACGGCAGGAAGAGCAGACTCCTCTTCGCTCCGTGCTGTGCTAGCCAAGTCCAGGCACCCGTAGACTCTGTGGTTTTAGTAACTGTCCCATTCGGTTAACACAAAGGTTCACAGCCCAACGTGGTGAGCTGTGTTTGCAAAGCGGGTGAGGTAGAGGACATCCTTTCCACGTCATGTGTGCATCGTGTCTTGGAGCAGTTTTATTTGGCTGTTATGAGTTACTAAATCAGCTTTGGGTTGACGTTAATCTGAATACCAGGCAGTGTAGCATAGGAGCTGTGATGTGTCTTGCAGAGAGATCTGTCCTGCCTCTGACAGGACAACAGCTTCACAAAGCAAAAGCTTGTCTAGCAGAACAAATTAACAGCCAGGGAAAAATGAATGTGGCTGCTGATTCCAGTTTGTGTCACACAAGAAGGGAGCTTTTCCACATGGTGTCAGCCATCTGCTGTTGGTTACCTGTGGCATTGTGGAAAGTTTTCTCTGCGGTTCAAAAGTTAGGAAGCCACAGATGGGTGCTAGTGGCTCACACCTGTAATCCTAGCTACTTGGGAGGCTGAGATGGGGAGGACTGAGATCCAGGGCCAGCTCAGGCAAATAGTTCGAGAGACCCATTTCCAAACTAGCCAGAGCAAAATGGACTGAAGGTGTGGCTCGAACAGTAGAGTGCCTGCTTTGCAAAGCGCAAAGCTCTGAATTCAAACTCCAGTTCCACCAAAACAAAACAAAACAGAGGAATGGATGGTCACTACTTTTTAAAAAATATTTCGTGGAGCGTGCAAACCACAAGGCAGGTGTATTCAAAGACGTGAAGCAGCTCAGAGTAAAATGTCAATGAAAACGAAATGCACCTTCTGTGAATGGAACCCATTTGGCCTGAGTGCAGTAGTCACGTGTGTCCTATGATGGTCCAAGTCACACTGTGGCCCCGGCCTCTTTGTCTGCAGATGGTGTGGGAGAGCGGCTGTGCTGTCATCGTCATGCTGACACCACTGGCTGAGAACGGTGTCCGGCAGTGCCACCACTACTGGCCTGACGAAGGCTCCAACCTCTACCACGTCTATGAGGTACTTAGAGGAGGGTACCTGCCTGTGGGGCTGTCGGCCCCAGTGTTTGGTGACTACATGGTGAGGTCACCCAGGAGACAGGCACAGACCTGGGCAGGGCAGTCAGCACCTTCCATCCTCAAAGGGACCAGGTGCCACATGGCCAGGAAAGGTCAGTGGTTTCACACAGTTATGTGATGGTGAACTGTACTCAGGGGTGGACAGTACGTTTTCCATTTTTTAAAAATCATATAACTCCAAATGGTGCAGAATTAAAAATCCACCTGACAAGGTGGTCCAGGTCCCCTTGTTCTGACCGATGGTTTCTTTGCGGAACTGAGAGTCTCCCCTGGGCTCTGTTTGGAGTTAGGTGTCTGGAGTGTCTGGCCTTCCATTGGAGGGTAACCCCTGATGGGCAGACTTCTTTTGTGGACTTTCCACCCACTTCAGGAGGAGACATAAGCAAGGACCACGATGCATCCTCTGGTTCTGTTTTGCACTACGAATAGTCAGGGTGCAAAAGGCCCTGGTGGGGAGCCCTAGTCACCCAGTGTGGCTTGCGGCTGCTGCACACAGGCTCCAGCCCAGGGAGAGACCACGCAGTCCCCACCGACTGCCATGTCTTTGCTCTGACCTGCATGGGCCCAGCCTTCACAAAACTTCAGGTCGTCTAGAGCCATTAAGGAAGTCTTGGTTGTACTGATGTTTGCTCAAAAGTATACTTTTTATCCAGCTACTTGTCCTGAAAGTTTATATGATTTAGAAGCAAAAAGTTCACATGGTAGCATTTTTTTTTTTAAATTGTCTTTGAAGTCCATGAGTGTCATTATACTCTTACACAGAGCTACTTCTTATACGAGTTGTGTTAAAACTGAAAGCGGGGAAGGGACCTGGGGCCAGCCCAGCCCTCCTGTGCTGTGCCATTCATCACCCTATGGTATTCCTTCCTGTCCAAAGTAGCACCACGGTCAAGGTACCTCAAGCTGACGATACCTTGCTGTCCCGTCTCGTCCCCGCCAGGTCAACCTGGTCTCCGAGCACATCTGGTGCCAGGACTTCTTGGTGAGAAGCTTTTACCTGAAGAACCTTCAGACCAACGAGACTCGCACGGTGACCCAGTTCCACTTCCTGAGTTGGTATGACCAGGGAGTCCCTTCTTCCACGCGGTCACTTCTGGATTTCCGCAGGTAAAACCAAGAGCCCGCTGGCAGGATAACAGCTAGAATGTAGGTGTCAGGCAGAGGGGTGCAGGCTTATGTCTGATTTCCACGTTTCTAAGATGCTGCTGGCTGTAAGACGGCCCTTCCATGTTACAGCTGGACATGGGAGAAAGGAAGGAAGGACGGATGGAGGGAGGGAGGGAGTTGGAGGGAGGAGGGATGTGCTGACTGCATGTGTTGTGATCTGTTTTCCAGTTTCAGCAGGTTGCATGTGGAGACAGGCATCTTAGAACTGTGGAAGCTGGTAGAAGGGCTCAAGTGGTAGAGCACCTGCCTAGCAAGCATGAGGCCCTGAGTTCAAACCCCATACCACTGAAATAAAAAATAAAAGGGAACTGTGGAAACACAGTCATTGGTTTTGATAAAATTCTTCAATCACCAATTCCTACAGTTTCTATTTCACAAGATATTGGTGATTTAAAACCAGGTTTTTAGTTTGGCTACTTGTTTCCCTGCACACAATGAGATTTCATAAGGGTAGGGATATATTGTAAACTAGATGTTCTTGGATGGAAGCCTAGATAGAGTTAGTCCATGACTGTGTGTATGTTTAGTGCAAATTTGAAACTGACGGTTTAAAACAATCCATTTATTTATTTTTTGCTCATTGCTGTAGCCAGCAGTCACCCAATAGTTGCCTTATGTTGAACTAGCGAAATGAATGCTAAACTCTGTCTTCCAGGAAGATATTGATGATGATTAAAAAAAAAAAAAAAAAAAGACAGATGTGGTGTCCATGCCTATAATCCTAGCTACTTGGAAGTCTAAGTCAGGAGGATGGAGGTTTCAGGCCAGCCTGGGCAAAAAAACCAAAAGCTTATGAGACCCTATATCTATGGGGAAAAGCTGGGTGTGGTGGTAAACTCCTGTCAATCCAAGCTACATGAGAGCATAAAATAGCAGCCTGGGCAAAAAGTGAGACCGTATCTCAAAACAACGAGAGTAAAAAGGGCCAGAGGGAGTGGCTCAAGTGGTAAAGCCTCTGCCTAGTAAGCAGCCCTGAGTTCAAACCCCAGTACCACCAAAAAAAAAAAAAAAGAGGAGGCTATAAGGTGGAAGTGTTGGTTGTGTGTCACATTGGCCGTGGCAGCAGGTGAGCCCTGGCTGCCTAGTGGTGGTGACAAATCAAATCAGCAACCATGAGTGGAGGTTGTCAGGCGGCTCCAATAACCAAATTCTATAGAACCACCCTTGCACTGAACTTAGCCTAGCTGCTAAGGAGATATCTAAGCAAGGAGTCAGAACAAAGTGTGCCCTAACCTGGCATTACACCCCTCATAAAGGGCATGTGTCTGAACTGTTCCTTGCCCTTGAGTATCCAGTTAGGAACTCCAAGGCAGTTGAAAAGGCAAGTATGGTCATAAAGATGGAGTTCTGGGCTTATCGCTGGGTTTCTTGAATTTGTATGTTACAGATTCTTAAGCTTATCGTGATACAATTATTTCTTTTGCCTTCTAGTCTTCTTTGAAAAACAAAATAAAACCTTTATCTGAATTGTTCTTTGGATCAGATAGCATGTGAAAGAGCTCAAGGAGGGACACAAATTTTGTGTCACATACAGGTTCAGTGGCTCCTGCCTGGCTCTGTCACCTCCCTGGGGATGCAGAGCAGATCCAGAACCCTGGGCACATCATAAAACACCTACTGTGCACAGTTCCCTCCCACCCATCCTGACTTCCTGGCCCTTAGATATGTCTTCTCAATGTACATTTATCTTTAAAGACATGCCATGTAACTTACACAGCAGCCTGAAGTCATCTTCAGCAAACAGTCATTACTGGCAAAATGGATGTAGCTAAAAGATGGTCACTCATCCCAATACCCCAACACCCGTCTTCAAGCTCATCCAGTGTGTTTGCACCCATATGTGTATGGACATTTGTCTGTATCCATGTATGGAAAGGAACACATCCATGAATAGCCCTCAGGGTTCACAGTGCATCACACGAAGACAAATGAAATTCTCATTCTTTTGCTGCATGGTCTGAGGAGACACGGCCCACGGTTTTTGTTCAATTAAAAAAGAAAAACTCCCAGGCCCAGCTTTGATGTCTCATGGAGACAGAAAGCTTTTCTTGGATGCTGTGTTGTCAGGACCTGGTAGCCAAGGCCCCCTCCACACCTCAGCTAGACAGCTGCCACAAAGGACCACACTCTCAGAGTGCCCTGTGCGTAGACATCAGTCGCTGGTTGGTGACTGTCTATGTAAAATAGTCACCCTAAAGCCCTAAGCTGGAAAGGCAAGCCTGCTTGTGAAGACCCTGCCATGTTCAGGCTACAGGTTTTCCTGGCCTGTGTGTGCACCCAAGACGTGTAATTAAATGTTCCTGGAGCCCAGAGGGGCACATTTACACTTTAAAGAGAAACCACTCAGAGATAATTAGCATCACGTGGGAGGGTTCACTTTGAAACCCTCTCCCTCCCTCTCTGCCTCTCTCTCTCTCTCTCTCTCTCTCTCTCTCTCTCTCTCTCTCTCTCTCTCTCTCTCTCTCCCCTTCTTGCTGTGTGCCATGGCGCTCTCTGACGCTGCTCACTGTAAAAACGGACAAACCCTTACTTTGCCAGCTAATTAGCGGTGGCCAGTGTCATTTTTGTGATGTTGCAGCTAGTAATATAAGCCCAGTTGCATAGTCACAAAAGTGATCACTGGAAACTGTGACTGCTGCAGGGACATGGGGACCCCTCTCTGAGCCTCTAACGACCTGACTTTTGCTTGCTGCTGGCTTGCATGGCGGCTCCTTCTCACTCAGTGACTGAGGGTCGGTTTGTGTTGCCAACCGTTCCTCCTCAGCGAACTCCTGCCGACGTGACGTATGTGCCGTCAGTTTCTCTCAGCGCTGGAGCCCTCTTGCTTACTGACGGTCTGAGAGAGGTCACTGAGACGACTGTGCACTGCTCACCTCCATAACGACCTCCGTCTGCGTCTCGGGTCCACCGGATGAACACTTGGGCTCCGTGTGCGATGGTTTTGCTTTTGTATTTGTGACGTTTTGCACTGCGATCATCCAAGCACTTGATTCTCTGTAAATAAAGTTCTAAGCGGTGCCACCACAGAGGGCTGTCACTCTGCATCTCCTCGATTGCTTGTGGGTGTTTGTAAGTAGGGCTGGTGTGGACCTTAAAAACCACAGCGAATCCTTGCAAAGGCCTGCCTGGGCAGCCGGTGGCCACACGCTGGGGAAAATGTAGACCGTAAATGAAGACGGGGTCGCAGGAGGGAGAAGTGAGTGGCAGCTCCACTGCCAGTTCTCAGTTTGATCTTTACCAGTATTTCTCACCCAAAGAGGTTACAAGGGCCTATTGCCAAGCCGAGCAGCTGTCATTGCAACTGCTGTTCTACTGACCCCTAACGTCCATGTCCTTCTAAACCAGTGCAGTTGTAAAGGGCGTCTGGCCTGAAACAGTGAGTCAAACCTGGCCAGTGTGTGAACATGGCAACACTGAGTTCAGCCTTTATAAACCCAGACCGGTCAAGTTTGCAATGTAACAGAGTACATTGCACCAAGGCTGTTCATGGGAGCAAGAAGTTCTCTCTGCAGGGGCCAGGCCACCAAGAGGGGGTCTGGCCGCTGAACTTAGATGATTGCACACAGGCACACAGTCTTTTTGTTTGCTTGTCTGGTCCTGGGGATGGAGCCCAGAGCCTCCTGCACACTAAGCAGATTCTCTGCCACTGAGCCCCACCCCAGCTCAGACACTGTCTTACCAAGACAGCAGCTTTGCAGTCCACACCCTGGAGGTAGGCCCCCGGGATCTAGCATTTACCTGGTCAAAGCAGGTGCTTACAATGCAGGAGGTTCTAGCAGTGGGGGCAGTGGATCTGTTTCCCAATCTGTTTATTCTCCAAGGACCAAGAAATTTCACAGTGTCCTGGCATGCAAGCAGTGTCCATTTCAACAAGTCCGTTTCTTTCTCATCGCTCCACCAAGCCTCCCCATTGCAGTGTTCACAAAAAAGCCATGAAAGGCTCTCGCAGAAATGGCCATGAAGGCACACGCTTGTTTTACACAGTCCCAGAGCTTGCTCTGGGTGGTCCACAAGCTCTAAGATGCTGTACATTTTCACATGCTAGCAAGCAGCCGCAGATCAAGTGCTGCCGAGCAGGGCTTTGAACGTGACCTGTCTGCAGGTGGGCGCGCCTTATCCAGCTCGGCAGTGTGGCCCTGCAACTCTGTTGTCTGTCTGGGGTGAGGGTTCAGACTCCTGGCAGAAGTATCTCATAGATACTCTACAGAGGAAGTAGGAAAAAGAAAAAAGCAGCCCTCTGGTATCAGGGCTGCCTGATAGTGGAGTATCTACCCTGAGCACCAATCACAGGGCACTCACTTCCCCTCCCTCCACCTGGCTCTCGTGGTTTGGACAATGGTAGCAACCAGCGGTCTGTATTTCCACTCTCCGCTGACTGCCGCAGTGCGTGTAGGCACGCCTTTGCAAAGAACATGACATCCTCCCATGTGTGGTTCAAGGGGAAAATTTCTCTGTATTGTCATGTGTGTTTTTTTAATTTGACTTTATATTGGAAGAGTTCATACAGCACATTCTAGAACACATCCCCTTCACCCATTCTTTTCCTTTCCAGTAAACTACTAGCCGATCTTTAATTTTCGTTTCCCTGTCTGCACTCTATCTTTAATTTTCTTTATATGAAATATTTTACTGAGAACTTTGATATACTTTAAAAAGATATGTTGAGTTGTTTCACTGAATTAGGAAAAAAAAAACAATTTGGAGCTTATACAGTGAATTTTAAATCAGTCCTCTGATTTTGATAGCAGTGGTTAACAAAATCTTAGGTATAGTTTCAATGTTTTATAACTGCTGGTAAATCTGCACAATGGACTTGCTTTTAAAAAGCATATGCAAATTCATAAAAGTGGAAAAGACTTGGATTAGCAGAATGGCTTAAGTGTGGAGCACCCGCCTAGCAAGCACGGAGCCCTGAGTTCAAACCCCACTGCCACCAAAAAGGAAAAAATGGAAAAGACTGTCTTGAATTTCCTCCACAATATCCTTATGCAAACCAGCAGGTCAAATAGGCTCTTTAGAATGCTGATTTTATACGACTTGGTAATACTGTGTCCAATAAGGGACATAGAAATTATGACATGAATTACAAAACTCAAAAGTGTCAGTGAAGCATCAAGACAGCTAGGTCATAACAGAGGTCAGATCATCTAAGGTGGAGGGAAGGAGGGAGGAGGCCTGTGTAGGACAAGGGTGCACACAGGGGGCCCATGGACCCCTTAGCCTAAACCCTGGAGCTCACACTTGTAAAGGGGAAAAAAACATTGTGAAAGTGTGAGGATCGTCTGTAAAGCTTGCTTAATAAGCTATTGTTGAGAAGGAAAGATCTTTGAAATTGTATGTGTGACTTTTTATTTTCTTTGTCCAAACAGGCTGTTGCAAAGTGATATCTGTGACATGGACTCTGTGCTCTGGCTGATTAGTTGTTCTGGATAACACACTATAATTTCTATATCTCTTTTTATTTCAGAAAAGTGAACAAGTGCTACCGGGGCCGCTCTTGTCCAATAGTTGTTCACTGCAGGCAAGTACAGCTTCTTACCCCGCTAAGATTTTGCTATTTCAAAAAATAACCAATCCCATCACTGTAGAATGGGCGTTCCAGGTGCTTAAGGATCATATCTAACGGGTATTTCTAAGAGAAAACAGAGGTAGACATATCATTTGCTGTGCCATTTCTCACATAAACCCAACTTCATCATCTCTTTATACCTGTGCTAGCTGCACTTGGGGTTCTTTCTTTCTAGCAGGCACTGGCCATGGACCATCACCTGTTTCCAAATGCCCAGTCACCTTCTTCTTTCTTTAAAACCCTCTTGATGCAACAAAACCCCTCAGACACAATATTTTTGACAGATGGCATTGTTTCAGCCACCAACCACTGTGTTCAGCAGGAGTTTGGAGTCTTGTGTAGAGGGTGAGAAGCACTGGGGCCTCGAACAGTCACTCCTGTGACTACAGGAGTCTGAGCCTTTAGTGACTCATATCCTTAAGCAGGTTAAAACCACATCAGTAAGAACAGGTCCACTCAAAGAGAGTTCAGCCTGGTGGTCCTATCTGTCCTGGACTCAGTCCTCAACTGTTTTTGATAAAGAGTTCACACTCCATTTTTCTGGAACCGTCTCATGGAACGTTCCTTTCTGCCTGGAATGAAAGGCAATCTGCCCCAAAGATCAAGCACCAAATCCGTCAAGGACATGTGTGCACATGCGTCTGCCTGGCTGTGAGAGAGAAAACAGACTGTGGTTTCCTATCTCACGAAATAGGGCAGAGCGTCTTTTACCCACAAACGTACCAGGACAAGCTCCAGTCGGTTGGAAGATTTTTATAGTATTTCTTAAAACACTGATGTGAATCTGCTGCACACAGAGTGAGATGCAAGAGGGGCGTTGGCTGTGGTCACTCCTAAGGAACAGTGAGCAAGGTGACTGCGTCTCTGTGTGTGTGAACTGTGAAGTTCTTATTCCTCCAACCATCGCCTTCCAGACCATTTGTTTAAGGAACCACATGAAAGCCAAACTCGATGCCTCTTTACCAGAAAAAGAGCAGCCAGCAGGCATGCCCAGCTCTCTGGGAATTACAGGCTGGTGTGCCATCTGAGACGGGAAGCAAAATGACTTGTCAGCTAGTTACTTGGTTCTCCAAGTCTTCAGCTGGAAACATTTATTTTTCCCTTAAAGTTGCCATTGGTCTTGCTGAGGGGAGAAGTGGTTACCTGCCAAGGGTGTGAGGAGAAGGCCGGTTTGATTTCAGAGCAAGTCTGGAGCTCACGTGACTCGGTGACATCACCCACGTGAGGGCAGAGATGGCTTCACATACTCCTTGTGAGAGAGGGAGAATGCTGGGGCTGCTTTTCTCCCAGAAAAGGGATTTTCTTACATTTTTTTTCTGCTTGCTCTTTCTACTTACAACTCCAATCCAGATGGCAAATACTCTCGTTACAACTGCTGTGATGAGGAAAGATGAAAAGGAAGCACTTTTTAGAGAGTATGTTTGGTCCACTTCTCCTGTGGGGGTGACAAGCCTAGGAAGGGTGGACAGCAGCCCAGGACTGCATGGGGCGAGTGGCCGCAGCCCTGCACGCGTCTGCTCCCCTGCCTCCTCCACCTGCTATCTCAGTCACCCTGGGACGTGTCTTGCTGGTGGTGGAATGCCAGGCCGTCACCTCTGACACCCCAAACACTTCTTCATTTCTTTTTTTCTGACAAATTTGACCAGGGTGGGGGAAGAAGAGACAAGCGTTTCAAGCCTGGTACCTAATCCTGGATGGGTAGAGGCGCCCAGAGGGCCCTCCCTGCCTCTGTGGGATTCTTTTTCCCATCCTGCTTTCTCCCTACTCTCCCTCCCCCCTCTCTCTCTCTCTCTCTCTCTCTCTCTCTCTTCCCTCTCCCCCTTCTCCCCCCCCAATTCACAACAATCTCCCTGTCCTCCTGCCAGCCCCACTTAAGCATGAAGGAAGTAAGCGAGTCCGGGCCCTTGGGCGCCCCGTGGCCTGGTGCTGCGGCACGTTCACTGCTCTCTCCTTCTGTTGACAGTGACGGCGCCGGCAGGAGCGGAACCTATGTCCTGATTGATATGGTTCTGAACAAGATGGCCAAAGGTGAGACTGACTGCTTTGTTGTGGCTCAGGGAGGGGATGGCGTTGCCATGGCAACACAAGGCACACTCACAGCAGGCTCTGGAAAAAAATGAGCGACTGCTGTCCCTTCCCTGAGAGGCATGAGGCTATTTGCAGCCAGCACGGTTATTTTTTGAGGTTCCCCCTGTGTTAGTAGCTGAAACAGCAGAGTGCATAGTAGGTCTTTGATAACACTCTGCCCCACGTGTTCCCACACGAGCTTCGGCACGGAGGAGAGGGCAACCTTGGATCTCTAAGTGGCACAGCAGGTCAGAAGAGCCTGAAGTGTCTGTATAACCCTTCCTGTTGTCAAAACCGTATCTGAGAACGGAGTTCAGCCTTCCTGCCACGGCTGCCCTAAAAGCCCCTGCAATAATGCCATGCAGCGTGGCGTTTCATCTCAGGAGAGCCCTCCTTTTTTTGTGGTGCCGGGGTTGTACCCAGCTCCTAAACGAACTGTCTAAAGTCCTCTCAGCATCTCTTCACAAACCTCAGGGACTCAGCTCCGACTGCGAGAGCAAGTCCTGTCCTGTCAGAGGCTGCGCTGTGCCAAAGGGGAGCACCGTCTGTCAGGAGGCCCTGTAAACGCACCCGCACTCACGCATGCACATACATGCGCACATGCACAGAGGCACACACGTACATGCACAGACACACGCACACATTCACACACGTGCACACACACACATACATGCACGCATGCACGCACACACACAGCAGCATGCACAGTGTCATTTTTCCCCCATGGTGGTCAAGTGCACCATAGGAAAGGAAGCAAGGAATGGAGCTGGCCTGGTTTTCCCAGAAGGTGAGCTAGGAAGCAGACCTGAGCCGTGGTCTCTGAAGCAGAGGCTGGGGAGGGGCTCACAGCCCAGTGAGTTTGGGAAGAGGACTCCTGAGACCCACTCCTGCGGAGTCGCAGGCAGGTGCACTTTTGCTGCCGAGCCTGGGGGAGGCACATGCCTGCCTTCCTGAACCCAACGCTTCATGAGGGGTTTGAAAAGACTCCTTGCTTTTCTGTGGACACTGTGAGTATCCCGTTGTCCGGGGAAACAGAGATGGGCAGTGCTTTCTAGTCTTTCCCAGCTGTGAACGAGAGGTTGTGTTTGAACGCATGCTCAGAGTGACCCAGAGACTACACCTTCCACAACAGCAGCTCCATCCTTCACCCAACCACAGAAACAATTCTTGATTGTAGAAATGAGCTTCTGTACGTGTCAATGCGAAAACGCCAGCAATGCGAAAGTAAGCACTCTCTCTGCTCCATTTTTCTTCTGGCAAAAAAAAAAAAAAAAAAAAAGATAAAACCCATCTTTAGTCCAAGGAATAGGTGTGTGGAGATAACACAGTGGCCCATGATTTACACAGGACAGTGGTGCTTGGGTGAATTACCTGTAGCCCAGGACCAGAGGGCTGGAGCCAAGCCCTGTGCTGCAGCCGCCTCCCGAGTCTCCAGCGTCCTCTGCTAGCTGCTAGGGAGAGAGGGACGCTGGTGTCTGTGTCACCAGATACAGAGTTAAGCACCAAAATTAGCTTAGTGTGGAGATGTGCACAGAAGCAAATGGAACACAATGCAAATTCTCTGATATTGCTTTCAATGATATTTTCTGGTTTTAACACAATCTGACATTTTTAGTTGAAACTTTATTTTTTCCTCATCTGTTCATGCTGCAGTGTCTCATGAAATATCTTTTCCTCTGCGAATTCTAAGTTATTGGAGCTCAGGGCTATTGGGCAGAATTTGCATTTCTTCCTTCATCATTTGCGCCCAACTCTGTCTCTCCCAAGCACAAATATCTTCCTTCTGTTACACCAAAATACCTTGAGAATTATACAGATCATTTTAGCGTAATGTTTCTATCTTGGCTATGTTGTGCCCTAATAAACTACTGAGTAGGCATTTATTACAAATGGAAACCATGCTCGTCACAGGAGCAGGAGATCGAGCAGGTGCTAAGGACACCAGCCTGGGCCAAGCCCACTGTCAAATGGCACAGGTTTGCCTCCTAGGGAAGCAGGCGCAGGGAGCCTGCTGGGTGGGGGAAGGGCTGACTGTTGTTCGCGCCTAGGTCACCATTTGCTGGCTCCACTGTACCATGGAATGTCAAATTCCGTTTTAAGTGTGGGCTGGGCGTCCAACAATGCGAGTCCAGCCTTGTGGAACTGGGCCGAGGGGCAGCTCCAGGCTCCTCTGACATTGGCTGCCTTCTTTCTGTTCCTGACCTGCTCCCCTTCCTCCTCCCCGGGGAGGAGGGTGTGAAATCGCCTGACCTGGGGCCCTGGCTGGGGTCTCAGGAGAGATCAAAGGGCGGGCGGCCCCTCGCCCGCTGAGGTGGGCCTTTCCCAGGCCACTACCCGAGAGGCTGCTGGGGTTTTGTCCTGTGCAGCCGGCCAGGCCTTCTTTGTCTGGCCTGAGAAGCTGAGGCCCACATTGCAGACCCAGCGTTCATGAAATGATCAAAGGCCCAAAGCCCTAGACATGAAGCCTTTCTTCCCATTCCCTTTCTTAGAAGGAATGAATTGCACAAGGACTAAAGAATGCCTCTCCAAAGCGTTCCTGTGCGGTGCCCGCCCTGTGGTCAGAGCCCTCCAGCTCTGAGTGTGGACCCAGCTCGCTCGCTTACTGGCTGTGTGCAGCTGCGCCAGGCGGCAGCAGCCAGCACTCGCTCACTTGCTCGCTCACTCTGGTCGCTCACTCACAGCCTTTCAGGGATTAAGGAGGCCTCCGGGCCTGGTGTAAGGGTTTGAAGAATAAACTTAGAATGATGCACATCTCGCTCCTCTGTCGGGTTCGTTAGCAAGTAGACAACAATGCACTTTGGAATCAAATTAAAGACCCCTGCGCTGCAGAAGATTCTGGGCAGGAACCTAGGTGCAGAGCTGGGAACACATTCCCACATTATTCCTGTCCTGGCAGACATGCTTCTAACCCAAGAGTGACATCGCACGTCGAAATTGGTCAGCAGGTGTACGTGTGTCCCTCTCACTGAAAGGCTCAGCTCACACCCAACAAAACATGTTCAGCTAAGTTATTTCTCAGTCTGCACTTTTTCAATTTTTATTTGTCCCTGGGGACAAATCTCCTCACCTGGCTTTTTTTTGTTTGTTTGTTGTTTGTTTGTTTCATCACAAATTTTTTAAGGTATGGAGAACGCTGAGCCAAGGGTGGAGCTGCCCAAAGTTCACATTGCTGGGTTACCCAGAGTGGCTGGGCCCACCTGGCTGGGGTTACATGTCACCCAGGCAGGGACCAGGACAGACAGTCAGTGCCGACACACTTGGCTGCACACTTTCAGTAGCGCTCCCACCAGGACCTGGTCTGGGCGGGGAGAGGGTCTGCCAGCCTCGGGCGCCACAGAGCGCCACACCAAGTAGACATGGCCGGGCCTTCCTTCACGGGGACTGTGTGTGTGTGCAGGGCGAGGTCACAGACTGGGAATTTCATCTCCCAACACACATCTCCATCGCTTGCTATCTAGTGCACAGGTAGTTTTGAGACTTGTTTTAGCTCACGCCATGGGGACACATTCCTAAGTAATCTGTGTGACTGTGTGACAGTCCTAAGTGCCCAGTGCCCAGTGCCAGGCTCCTCCTCAGCACCCTGAATGGTCTTGCTGCTGTCCTGCCACACGTGGCACATGTGAGGCAGCAGCACGTGGGTGGAGAGGTGTACAACCTCTGTGCTGCCTCGTTTCTGTGGGTTCCACTGCCCTGGTGCCTTACCTACATGGAACCCTGCACTCTTTGTCCTTCTGTGATGGCCAGTTGCACTTAGCACAGGTCTTCAAGTTCATCCGCACGTCAGTCCTTCGTACGACTGAGTAATACTCCGTAACCTGGCACACCGAGTTGATGGACATCAGTGCTGGTTCCAACTTTGGGCCGTTGTGACTAGAGCTGCCGCAAACATGATCAAACGGCTGTCTGAGTTCCCGCTTTGCATTCTCTGGGGCGGACACCAGGAGGAGAATGCTGGACCAGGTGCCAGTTCTATGTTCAGCCGTTTGAGGAACCCCATACTGTCTCCACCACGGCTGTGCCATCTTACATTCCTACCAGTGATGCACAGGGTTCCAGTCTCTCCACACCGGTGCCGCACGTGTTTTCCGCTTTCTGATAACGGGTGTGAAGCGAGAGCTCAGGTGGTTTTGGTTGGCCTGGCCCTAACGACTCCTGGTGTGGAGCCTCTCCGTGTTCTTTTGTCCAGTTGTGTGTCATCTTTGGGGAGGTGTCTGTTCACATTCTTTGCCCAGTTTGGAGTGGGCTCTTGGTTTTGTTGTTGAGTTGTGTGGGTCGGTGGGGACGGGGGCGGTCTTTCTATGTTCTCGGTATTAATCCCTCATCAGACATATGACTCAAATCTCTTATCCCACTCTGCCTTGACCGTGCTCTTGACCATGCACTTGACCATGCATGGACATACCTGGGGTGCTCACTTTGTCTTTTAAATATTTTTAACTCTTTTTCTTTAATTACCATTGCTTTCAGAGTCACATGCAAGAAATCTGCTAACTCCAAGCTCACAACGCTAACTTTTAGTGGCGGGTCTGAAAATGGGTGGAAGCCTGCCTTTGGGAGCCAAGTTAGATTACAGCTGGAGAAAGTCATGCAGACTGATGGGCAGCCCTGCCCATCGTGTGTGGGCAAAAGCTTATACAGCACAACTTGTCTGCCATATGCAAGGATAATTAAAAATCTTTCTCAGCCGGGCACAGTGGAGCATGCGTGTAATCTCAGCTACTTGGGAGGCAGATAGATATAGGAAGATCACAGTTCAAGACCAGTCTGGGGAAAAAAATTAGCAAGACTGTCTCAAAAAGCAAATCCAGCATTGTAGCACATGTCTGCAATTCCAGCTAAACAGGAGGCATGGGAACGAGGTTCATGATCCAAACAAGACCCTGTCTGAAAAATAACTAAAGCAGAAAGGGCTGGGGGTTTGGCTCAAGTGGTAGAGCCCCTGCCTAGCAAATGTGAGGCCC